CTCCCCTCCCGGTGCTGACAGCCTAACCTGCAGACTCCACCTGTGTCAGACCCCGGGGGGGGGTCACATCACTCTGCAGGGTGCCCGAGTGTACCCCCTTGATCGGTGCTCCCGGGACCCAGGCGTCAGACGTGGTCCCCCGGCCCAGAGCCCGTGGACTTGGGCCCTCAGGCTGCTCCCCAGGTCCATGCCCCCAGCCCTGCCTCCCGGCTCCGGACCGCACTGTTCTCTGCCCAGGGCGCACACGCTCTCATCTTCATTTTGGCCCCTCTGCTGACTGTTGGACCGTTTGGCTCTCGGTGTCCATCCGTGGGCCGTTTAGGTCCTTGTTGGCACTGCCCAGCCTCGCCAGCCGGTGGGGAGGGTTCCCAGGCTTGGAGGAGGAGAAGCTTGGGCCTGCAGGGCCTCCCAGCCTGGCGCTGGCCTCCGCGGGCTGCCTCGGCCGCCTGTGTCCCCACACCCCGGTCTCTGCTCCGCTGGGGCCCAGTGCAGCCTGCGACCGGGGGCTGCCCCGCCCCCGCTCCACTCGCCCCGCTCCCCTCCTGGGTGCTCAGACCCGTGCTCATCCCCGCCGGCCCAGCCCACGCCCTCCTTCCACGGAGACGCCGAAGGAGGACGCGCTCAGACAAGCCGTGCCGGGAGGGGGCGCCCGGCTGTCCCCGAAGGCGGGCATTGTCCCCGGCGCGGCTGCTCCCGCCAAACAGGGACACCCTGCTTCTCCACGAGGCCGTGTCCTCAGTCCTGTCCTCGGCCGCGCGGCTGCGTGTGTCCAAGGGCCGCGGGCGTCTCTGGTCTCCGCAGTCGCCATGAGTCAGCAGCGCGGGTGTCTGTGCGGCGACAGAAGTAGCCGCCGGGAGCGGGTGTCATGCTGATGGCCGCGGTGCCCGGAGGCAGGGAGGCCTGGGGCGGGGCGAGGCCGGCGCCCCTGCTCTGCAGGCTGCTCAGGGGGCCGGGCCCCGCTTGGGAACCTCGTGTGCGTGTGCGTGTGCGTGTCTCTCACGCACACAGACCCACGGTTGTGCCCCTTCCACCTTCGTCGCAGACGTCAGCCGGCTGCGGTGAGCTCAGGGCGCCGTCCTCCGCCGGTTCTCTCCGGCCCTGGGAGCCCCGCTCGAGGCGGAGGCGGCGGCCCGCGCGGCGCCCTGTGTGCTGGCAAAGGGCGCCTGTCCCAGCTGTGCCGGCCGTGCTATTTATGGCCCAGAGATGACTGTAAATCTCCCGTGTCCGCACCCTGCTCTTGTGTTTTCCCGTCGCCTGGACCTGCCTGCCCGCGCCGCACTTCCCGGGCTCTGGGGCTTGGTGGGCACTAGGCCACGCTGGGGCGGCGGTCAGCTCGGGGTCGGCGGCGCGGCCTGACGGACCCCAGCTCGGTGTCCCCACCCTCTCTTTCTGGAAGTCCAGGCCCCCAGCCCACTCTCTGGGCGTGAACACAGCGGTGCCTGCCTTCTTTCCATCGCTGTTGGCAGCTGTATCTCTTTCCACTTGTTAAGTTTCAGCTGCTGTGTCCTGAGACCTTCTGTGTGTGTCTTAGAAACAAATCTTACTTTTTTTTTTCTGTTTGGTCTTTGTCTTTTTTAAAGTCAACTTTATTCGAGTCTGCTTTTGGCCCTGCTGGGTCTTTGTTGCTGTGTGGACTTTTCTCGAGTTTTGGTGACCAGGGGCTGCTTTCAGGTTGAGATGCGCAGCCTTCTCATTTGCGGTGGGTTCTCTTGTTGCAGGCCACGGGCTCTTGGGGGAGGTGGGAGTTGGGTTCAGTGGCTGAGGCTCCCAGGTTCTAGAGCACAGGCTCAGAAGTGGTGGCGCATGGGCCTAGTTGTTCTTTAGCATGTGCGATCTTCTGGACCAGGTGTTGCACCCACCTCTCCTGCACTGGCAGGCGATTCTTCGCCAGGGAAAGCCCCGATCTTTGTGTTTTTAACTGGAACATTTAGTCCACCTACATCTGTTGCGACTTTGAATCCATTCTGGTTTATTTTGTTTTTCTCTATGTGCTCTTCTTTGTCACCTCTTTTTAAAAAATCTGTTTCCCCTTGGAGTACTTCCTGCCACGTCACTGCTCACCTGACAGTGTCATTTTTATAGGAACTGAGTTAATCCACATCTTTATCATCCAACTCAAAACCCTCATACACTTCCATTCTCTCTCCTTTGCCTTTTACACTGTCATTTTCTTGGGAGTTTTCAGGAAGAAGTAAGATGATATTTTTATGACTGATTTCTGTGGTGGATGCATGTGGAGTTACCCAGGTAGGCACTGCTCTCCCCGCCCCCGTCTTGAAGTTCAGATTTTCCATCTGGGGGCACCTTGCTCCCCCCTGACGTGCACGCCTCAGCGTCGCCTGGGCCAGGTGTCTGTCGCACGCTCACTTTGGCTTTCTGTTTGGGTTGTTAAAATGTCTCAGTGTTCATCTTATGTGACAGCCTCCTCCTCACAGATAGAAGGGGACGAGGTGGGCACTGTTTTCCTCTGGCTTCTAGGATCAGTTGCTTCTGTTGAGAGTTGGCTGGAGGATCAATTGTTTCTTTGAAGATTTCTACCTTATCTGTCTTGTTTCTCGTGTGAAGATTTCCACCTTATCTGTCTTGTTTCTCGTGCCTGTGCTGCGTTTGAGCACCTGCTGCCTGCCTTTGGGTCTTCAGCTTTTGTCCTCCTGTGTTCAGGTGTGGGTTTCTTTCTGTGATCCTGCTTGGGGTTCATGGGCTCCTGAGGTCTATGATGGGAGGCTGTGTCATGGGTCCTGATGACCCTGTGACCTGGGGTGACGGCTTGTGAAGGGGGTGAGGTGGGGTCTGACGTGAGGCTGTTTCTTGTGTCCTAATGACCCTGTTACCTGGGGTGACGTCCTGTGTAGGGGGTATGGTTGGGGTGGACGGGTGACGTGGGGTCTGACGGGAGGCTGTCATGAGTCCTGATAACCCCGTGACCCAGGGTGACAGAGACCCTGTTGCTGTGTCCCTCCCCAGATGCGACCCCTCCCAGCCCCCCGGCCCCTGGGAGGAAGGGCTGGCGGGCCACCGGGGACCCGAGTGGTAGGTGCGTCGGGAAATGCCTTGCTGACGTTAGCTGCGGCTGCAAGTGTGGTGTTGGCCCCTGTGTGGTGCCCGCCATGCCCGTCCTGGGAGGCAGAGCCCTGGGGCCGTGTGTTTCCTGAGGGCTGTGCTGGCTGAGGCTGAAAGCTCCGCAGGGCAGGGCGGGTGTGCGCACAAGCGGTCACAGGTGCAACCTGCCACTAGGGGACAGCCCGCCGCGCCTCCCATGACCTCCTGCAGGACATGGGGCAGGTTGTCAGCAGCCGTCCTGTCCAGGGGGTCACAGCCGAAGCAGGATCAGGGAGGCGGGGCAGTGTGGACAAGGCCAGTGGTCACATATGGCGCTGCATGTGGGCTGTATGGCCTCCCATGTCTGCGGTCAGCCCACAGTGATGGTCTGGGTGCCCCGTCCACAGTGGGTCAGCTGGGCTCGGGGCAGGCGCTGTGGATCAGACCCGCCTCCAATCATGACACATTACGAGGAGGAGGTGGTCACATGCCCAGGCCCTCACTGAGTGTGGGTCCTGAGGAGATGCCGACGTACCCGGGCCCTCACTGAGTGTGGGTCCTGAGGAGATGCCCACATGCCCGGGCCCTCACTGAGCGTGGGTCCTGAGGAGATGCCGACGTACCCGGGCCCTCACTGAGTGTGGGTCCTGAGGAGATGCCCACGTGCCCGGGCCCTCACTGAGTGTGGGTCCTGAGGAGATGCCCACGTGCCCCGGTCACTGAGTGTGGGTCCTGAGGAGATGCCGACGTACCCGGGCCCTCACTGAGTGTGGGTCCTGAGGAGATGCCCACATGCCGCGGGCCTCACTGAGTGTGGGTCCTGAGGAGATGCCCATGTGCCAAGGGCCTCACTGAGTGTGGGTCCTGAGGAGATGCCGACGTACCCGGGCCCTCACTGAGTGTGGGTCCTGAGGAGATGCCGACGTACCCGGGCCCTCACTGAGTGTGGGTCCTGAGGAGATGCCCACATGCCGCGGGACTCACTGAGTGTGGGTCCTGAGGAGATGCCCACGTGCCCCGGTCACTGAGTGTGGGTCCTGAGGAGATGCCGACGTACCCAGGCCCTCAGTGAGTGTGGGTCCTGAGGAGATGCCCACATGCCGCGGGCCTCACTGAGTGTGGGTCCTGAGGAGATGCCCACATGCCGCGGGCCTCACTGAGTGTGGGTCCTGAGGAGATGCCCACGTGCCTGGGCCCTCACTGAGTGTGGGTCCTGAGGAGATGCCCACATGCCCAGGCCCTCACTGAGTGTGGGTCCTGAGGAGATGCCCACATGCCGCGGGACTCACTGAGTGTGGGTCCTGAGGAGATGCCCACGTGCCCGGGCCCTCACTGAGTGTGGGTCCTGAGGAGATGCCGACGTACCCGGGCCCTCACTGAGTGTGGGTCCTGAGGAGATGCCCACGTGCCCAGGCCCTCACTGAGTGTGGGTCCTGAGGAGATGCCCACATGCCGCGGGACTCACTGAGTGTGGGTCCTGAGGAGATGCCCACGTGCCCGGGCCCTCACTGAGTGTGGGTCCTGAGGAGATGCCGACGTACCTGGGCCCTCACTGAGTGTGGGTCCTGAGGAGATGCCCACGTGCCGCGGGACTCACTGAGTGTGGGTCCTGAGGAGATGCCCACATGCCGCGGGACTCACTGAGTGTGGGTCCTGAGGAGATGCCCACGTGCCCGGGCCCTCACTGAGTGTGGGTCCTGAGGAGATGCCCACGTGCCCCGGTCACTGAGTGTGGGTCCTGAGGAGATGCCCACATGCTGCGGGCCTCACTGAGTGTGGGTCCTGAGGAGATGCCCACGTGCCCAGGCCCTCACTGAGTGTGGGTCCTGAGGAGATGCCCACGTTCCCAGGCCCTCACTCAGTGTGGGTCCTGAGGAGATGCCCACGTGCCCGGGCCCTCACTCATTGTGGGTCCTGAGGAGATGTCCACGTGCCCAGGCCTTCACTGTCCTCTCTCTCAGGTCCAGACGAGGAAGGAGGAGCCCCTGCCGCCCGCCGCAAGCCGGAGCATCCCCACCTTCTACTTCCCCCGTGGCCGCCCGCAGGACGCGGTGAACGTGGACACCGTCATCGCCAAGATCGAAAGGACCTTCGCGCAGTTCCCGCACGAGAGGGCCGCCATGGAGGATATGGGCCGCGTGGCCAAGGTGGGTGTTCCCGTGGGCATGTGGGATGGTCCTTCTTTGGTCGTGGCAGGCGCAGAGCTCGGCTTCTCTGAGTCTGCTCTCTGCCATCCTTGGGGCCTGAGGCTCAGAGGGCTCGTTCTGAGCTCCGTCCTCGCTGTTGGAGGACACGATAGCCTGCGTGCCGTCCCCTGGGGCCTCGTGATCTTAGAGGGACCCTCCCCACGGGCTCTCCCCCGGCCTTCCCCTGTGTCTCCTGTCCAAGGGATGCGTGTCCACAGTCCACACAGCGTGTGCGTGATTCTGGACTTACCCTGAGTGTGCCCGCAGAGAGGTGCTCATCGCAGAGAGTGTGGCTCCGGATCCTCCGTGTGGATACCCGGTCGTTTGGTGTCTGCACCATCTCTCACGGGAACGCGGCACGGTGTCCTTGGCCACCCCTAGTGGCTGGCTGGCTGTTGTGAGGGGCCCACGGTCCCTATGGTCCCTTGCTGTCTCACTCTGTGTGTGTGTCCACCACTCAGTCGCGTCCGACTCTGTGACCCCGTGGGCTATAGTCCTCCAGGTTCCTCTGTCTGTGGGATTCTCCAGGCAAGAACACGGGAGCAGGTTGCCATTCCTTCCTCCAGGGGATCTTCCTGTGTCAGGGTTTGAACCTGCGTCTCCTGCATTGGCAGGCGTACTGAACAGAGGACAGGCCCCCGCTTCACATCAGTCAGAGGCCCCAGGTTGTCCACCGGTGTCATGCCCACATGTGAGGTCCCCGTGCTCCCAGCACCCCAACTCTCACTGTCGTTGACAGCTGTTGTCGGGCACCTCCCATGTGTTTGATCCCCCGGGGGTCACGCTGCTGCAGACTGCTTGTGAATTCAGCATTGGTTCTTCAGGGCAGTGCGGTGCCTCTCTCCTTTGTCCCTAGTGCTGCAGGCTGCTTCTTTTTTCTCTGTGTCCCCCCCTCTCCCCCCAACCCTGCCCCTTCGCCTGCCCTTCCCCGATCCTCCCTCCCCCTCCCACCCTCCCCTCCCCTCCGCTCCCCACCCTCTCCTCCCCTCCTCTCCCCCTCCCTTCTCCCCCATCATCCCTGCCCCTCCTGTAAGATCTCTTTCTCTTGGTCCCGGCTGCTAACTCTGTCCGTTGTGCATGTCCTGAAAAGTTCTGTTGGAATGTGTGATGAGTGACTCCGCGTGCTCCCTCTGCCTTCAGTTTTTAGGGGTTGCCTGTTTCTCTTTTTCTAAAAGCTTTCTTGAGATGGAATCCATGTGCCACACAATTCACCATTTAAAGTCTACAGCTCAGCTGTTCTTGGTGTATTCACGGAGTCTTGCAGGTGTCTCTACAGTGAGCTCTTATCACTCAAGAAAGAAACACTGTACCCTGTGCTTGTCATCGCCCCTCCCCTTCCCCCGGATCCATAGGAAACCACTATTTGCCTTCAATGTCTGTGGATTTGCCTCTTTCTGACTCTTTGTATAAATGGAACCACCCACTGTGTGTCCTTCTGTGTTTGCTTCTCTCACTGACCACCCTGTATTCAGGGTCCATCCATGTTGCAGCCTGTGTCAGAGCTTCCCACCTCTTCATTCACTGAGTTGTCTTCCAGTGTGTGCATGGACCACATGATGTTTACCCATTCATCCGTCTCTCCATCCATCATCCATCCACCCACCCATCCATCCATCCGGTCATCCACCATCCATCCATCCACCCATCTATGATCCATCCACCCATCCATCCACCCATCCATCCACCCGTCATCCATTCATCCACACGTCCATCCACCCATCCATCCACCCATCATCTATCCATCCATCCACCCACCCACCCATGTACCAACTCACCCACCCAACCATCCGTCATCCATCCACCCATCTATCCACCTGTCAGTCCGCCCACCCATCTATCCACCCACCCAACCATGCATCCATCATCCATCCATCCATCCATCCATACACCCACTTATCCATCTGTCCATCCAACCATCTCTCCATCGTCCATCCATTCATCACCCAACCACCCATCTATCCAGTCATCCATCCATCCACCCACTCACCCATGCACACACTTATCCATTCATCCATCTGTCCATCCATCCTCCATTCATCTATCCATCCATCCACCCCCATATCCGTCCATCCATGTACCCTCCCACTCCCCCAGTCCCTGGCAACCATGAATCCCCTTCCTATCTCCATGGATTTGCCTGTTGTGGACACCTCCTATTGATGAATCACACGCCGTGTGTCCTTCTGTGTTTGCGTCTCTCACTGAACGTCATGTGTTCAAGGTCCATCCGCATCGTAGCCCGTGTCAGAGCCCCCTTCCTGTTTGTTAACATTCCTTTGCAAACTTACCCTTCATGAACACTTGGGTGGTTTCTGCCCTGTGACTCTTGTGCGTGATGTTGCTGTGAACACTCACGTGCTACAGGTGTGTGTAGATCGACGCGTTTGCATTTCTCTTGGGTTTAGACCTAGGGAGTGGAATGGCCGGTTCAGACAGTGACACTGGTCACCTTTCTGAAGAACCTCAAGACTCTTTTCCAGAGCAGCTGCCCCAGCTCACATTCCCACCTGCCTGTGCGAGGGTTCCAGCATGCTCACATTCTTCCCCGCACTCGCTGTCTTCCTGACCGAGGGCCGTCCGTGCCGGTGTGAGGGCAGTGCTGCCTCCTTGTGGTTTTGAACTGCATCTCCTTCCTGACTACGGGCTTCCCTGGCAGCTCAGATGGTCGAGTCCGTGCGGAAGATCTGGGTCAGGCAGATCCCCTGGAGAAAGGAGCGGCAACCCACTCCAGTATTCTTGCCTGGGGAATCCCATGGACAGAGGAGCCTGGCGGGCTGCAGTCCCTGCTATCACAGAGAGTCAGATATGGCGGAAGCGACTAATGCTTTCCTTCCTGACTAATGTTGAGACTCTGTTCATGTGCTTGTTAGCCGTTTTTATATATTCTCTCTGACAATGTCCTTTCAGATCCTTTGACTGTTTTTCAGTTGAGGTGTTTGTTGTTTTATTGTTGACTCATAAACATTCTTTGTAGTCTAGATACAGTCCCTTTTCGTATATATATACTGTGTAAATATTTTCTCCCATTCTCTGGGTGGTTTTTTTCACCTTTTATCTTATTTATTTATTTTCTTTTTTTTTCATTTATTTTTATTAGTTGGAGGCTAATTACTTTACAGTATTGTAGTAGTTGTTGCCATACGTTGACAAGAATCAGCCATGGATTTACATGTGTTCCCCGTGTCACCTTTTTGAAAATGGAATTAGAGTTGACTTACAGTGTTGTGGTAACTTCTGCTGCACAGCAGCAGGCGTTATACATGTACGTGCAAGCTTTTCCATTATGGCTTGTCACAGGACATTGGATATAGTTCCCTCTGCTACGTGCAAGCTTTTCCATTATGGCTTGTCACAGGACATTGGATATAGTTCCCTCTGCTACGTAGGAGGACCTTGTTGTGTATCCATCATATACATACAATAGTTTGCATCTGTTGATCTTAAACTCCCTGTCCATGCCTCTCCAGCCGCGGCCCTTCCCCGTCCCGGCAACCACAAGTCTGATCTCTCTGTCTGTGAGTCTTTCTGTTTCTCAGATAAGTTCATTCGTGCCATGGTTTAGACTCCTTATATACATGATACCATTAGGTTCTTGCCTTTCTCTGTCTGACTGACTTCACTTACTCTGAGCCTCTCTAGGTCCATCCATGTTGCTGCAAATGGCATCGCATTATTTTCTGTGGCCTAGTAGTGTTCCACGATGTCTGTACCACTTCTTTATCCATTCATCTGTGGATGAACATTCAGGTTGCTTCCATGTCTTGGCTGTTGTAAAGAATGCTGCCCTGAACAGTGGGGTGCATGTATCTTTTTGAATTAGAATTTTCTCTGGGTACATGCCGAGGAGTGGCATTGCTGGATCATATGGCAGTTCTGTTTTTAGTTTTTTGAGGACCCTCCAGGCTTTTTCATAGTGACTGCACTGATTTGTATTCTTACCAACAGTGTAGGGGAGGGTTCCCTTCTCTCCATACCCTGTCCAGCATTTGTTATTTGTAGACCTTTTCAATGATGTCCATTCTTAGCCGTGTGAGGTGGTACCTCATTATTATTTTGATTTGCATTTATCTAATAATTACTGGTGTTGAGCATATTTTTATCTGTCTGTTGGCCATCTGTATGTCTTCTTTGGAGAAATTTAGACCTTTGACCCATTTTTCGATTGTTTGGTTTTGTTGTTGTTGAGTCGTATGAGCTACTTGTATAGTTTGGAAATCAATCCTTTGTCGGTCACGTCGTTTGCAAATATTTTGTCCCATTCTGTGGGTTGTCTTTTGTTCCTTTCTGTGCAAAAGATTGTAAGCTGGATTAGGTCCCGTTTGTTTATTTTTGTTTTTATTCCTGCTGCCTTGCGACACTGGCCTAAGAAAACGTGTTTTGCCTATGTTCTCTACTAGGAGTTTTATGGCATCATGTCTTACGTTTATGTCCTTAAGCCATTTTGAGTTTATATTTTGCCTGTGGTGTGAGGGTGTGTTCTAAGTTCATTGATTTATATGCATCTCTCCAATTTTCCCAGCACCACTTGCTGAAGAATTTGTCTTCTTTTTTTAAAAAATTATTTATTTAATTGGAGGCTAATTACTTTACAATATTGTAGTGGTTTTTGCCATACACTGACATGAATGAGCCATGGGTGTACATGTGTCCCCATCCTGAACCCACCTCCCGCCTCCCTCCCCACCCCACCCCTCAGGGTCATCCCAGTGCACCAGCCCTGAGCACCCTGTCTCGTGCATCATACCTGGACTGGCGATCTGTTTCATATATGATAATATACATGTTTCAATGCTATTCTCTCAAATTATCCCACCCTCACCTTCTCCCACAGAGTCCAAAAGACTGTTCTATACATCTGTGTCTCTTTTGCTGTCTCACGTATAGGGTCATCATTACCATCTTTCTAAATTCCATATATGTGCGTTAGTATACTGTATTGGTGTTTTTCTTTCTGGCTTACT